CGGGATATGTCTACTTGGCTCACAGATGTGTCTATAGTTACCATAGATGGTAACTATATTCACAGTGCCCAGTGAATATAGATTGGATGGCTTGGTATATGTAAGTACTGGCGGAAGCACAGACTTCCAGGACACTTGAGTCAAGGAGCACCTGTTGTGACCTGACCAGAGTCCAGAGCACAGAACACCAGGTAAAGGCCACCTTTATAGTACAATAAGAAGTCAGTCATCAGAGAAGTCGTTTCCTCATATGGTGCAAGCCCATATCAGTGCACCTATCAATCCTTCTTCCCACGGTGGGTGGTCGTCAACACAGAGATCCACGGTGCAAGGTGCAGCAAGAAGAGGCTGCAGAACACTCGCTCTGTCCTAAATGGAGCATCTGTGTCACACCCATGTCCTCTTTCCAAGACTCAGGGAAGAGGATGCACAAAGATTGTGAGGGAAGAGGTGGCGGGTGACTATGAGGAAACAGTGTTTTCTGGACATGGCTGGGAAGATGCACACATTAGTTCATGGAAACGAGACACCATGCGTGAGACATGCATATGCTGAAGCCAGACAAAATCCCAAGAGGGGAGATGGGCACAGGAGGAAGAAAAAGAGTCCGTTTTCTTCCTTAAGGATGTGACCATTGGTGGATTGACTGTTGATGGCTGCCATATAACCAAGAGAATAAGGGTCCCACAAACTGTACTTGGTGAATTAGAAAAAAAAAAAAAAGTTCATGAACCTGGGTGGGTGAGAAAGGGAAGAAGTATCTGGGAGGAGTGAGAAGAAGAGGGGTGAATATGACCAGAATACACTGCAGAAAATTCTCAAAGAACTAATAAAAATGAAGAAAAGAAAGAAAGAAAGAAAAAGAGTTCCTGTGGATATTCTGGCCAAAGCAGTTTCAGGCTTTCCTGGGAAGAAAGAGGTGACATGAGGGCAAATAGCCAACAATAAACTATGAAGAAATCAGGTAGAGCTAGCACCTTCCCTGACACTGTCAAGCACACACCTGGGCTGGCATTACGTTTACCCTCATAAGCAAAGAAGCAGGGCTCAGACAAAATACATGACCTTCACAGGCTGATCACCAGAAGATCAACTATTTGTTTATTTGTTGTTGTTTCTCTCTCTCTCTCTCACTCACTCATGAAGTGCTTTGCACTTCTAATGACAGGGGCAAAATCACCTCACAGAAGTGAGGCAACTTAGACTCCATAAATCCTAGCCTATTAGTGGAAGTCATATTGGTTCAAACTCTTCATATTTGGTGTGGGTCTGTCTGTATGTCCTTCCTCAAAATTTATTTTTTTGTTTTTAACCCTGGCATCTGCATTTTAACAGACTCTTCCATTACTGCAGGGCAAAGATATGAGGAACACCTAGAAACTAATCTAAGTGATAAACAGAAAATTGGCCTCCCTCAGTTTCCCTCTCAGACAGAAATTCTAAATTGGGGTAGGATGGACAACTAGGAGATTAGCATTTCCAAACTAAAACAGAAAGACACAAATCTCCATTTATTTCAATAAGAAGTGCATACTAAAACAAAAATGGGGCAACATTGTTCTCCTATCAAATTAGCCAAGGTATGTTTCCATTAAAACTTACCTTGAGAGCATAGGGACTTGGCTCAGTGGGCAAAGTGTCTGTCAGGCAGCTGCAGTCCCATCCCCGGAGCACATGTAAAGGCTGGATGAAGTAACATGCTTTTGAATCCCAGTGCTCCTACATGAAGATGTAGGCAGAGACAGGAGAATCCCTGGACCGCTGCAGGCCAGAAGGACTGGCATATGCAGTGGCTAACAACAAAGAGAAGCTGCCTCAAAAGAGGTGGAAGTTAAGGACCAATAGCCTAAGAACTCATCCATGTGTTAATCACATGCTGAGAGTGTGGTGTGCTGAGAGTGGCTTAAGTGTTATTTGTAGAACTAAGATTTTAAAATATATTTCAAATCTCGATATGTCCACTAGTCTCCATCATGTCACATGAAATAGAAAGCTTGTTCTGTTTGTAGAGATAACTTCAAATTAACTAAGCAAGCTGTCCTCACAGCTACTCAGAACCCACAATAACTCGGTTATTAGGTACAGAGCATTACTGTTTCCATGTGAGCCACTGATAAATTTTTTCCAGCCTGTTCTTCTATTGTGGTTTCCCTTCCAAATCCATAAGCAAGTGCCCAACTTCTCTTATCCATATACATAAGAAGGGAGAATCAGATCAGATGAACCAATCACTACTGGTATGTGACATTATGGTGGGGGTAGCTCTGTCACCAGGTGCTGGTGGATAGATAGCTGGTAAAATGGTAGACGGCTGCCTGTGATCCAAATGTACTTGTCTAAAGCAAACAGGGGTATCCGTTTTGTGGAGATAATCTAATGTAGCATATGGTTCCAATGTAAAGGGCTCTCATAGAAAGACCTTACAGCACACAAGAGACAGAACCTGGAAAACTTCATTTAAAAGGACCAGAATAATAACACAATGTTCAGGATACTTGCTTTCATTAGTCTGTTAGGGAATCAAACATCAGGAAAACAGTCCACACATAAGCTTCCATTAAAACAAGTCCTATTATACTAGTTCTGAAGGTTGGATAATGTCTGGGAGGTGGGGAAAATGAAATTAGTTTCCCTATCTTCAGCTACTGGATGGCAATTCTCAGTAAACTCCGGACTTCAAAGTTTCTTTCTCATCCCTCAACATTCAAAAAGGTCTAAAATACTTCAGGGAGCAAGAAGTGGTGACACATGCCTCGGAGCTGATGCAAGAAGATAAATGAGCTTGAGGCCAACCTAGGCTACATAGGTTAGAATATAGAATAGCAAGATCCCCCCTTAAGAACAAAACAAAATCAAACCCTTCAGAAACTGTTTTCTCTTTGATCTTCCAAACTAGTCAAAATAATGTGTATTCTGTAGTTCAGTCCCTACAGTGTGCAATATGAAATAGACACAAAGCTAACTATTTAAATAATAGCCATTGTTTTGAAAAACAACAACATGAAAGACAAAACGAAAACACTTCCGAGCCTTACAGTATGAGGTCCGTTATCCAAAAACCTCTATTCCATTACTATAAGAGCCCTCAGTCACTTCTCAACTTATGTGGTTTCCAGAGATGAGAAGTGAAAGCTCCCATTTCTCTCAATTCAAAATATCACTACAGTAGGGAATATTGTTATGGGCTCAGGAGTAGCCACACACTGACCACTTGGACCCCAGACTCAGACTTATGGAAGTTCATTGAATGCTGAACAAAAACTGACCCCTCAGGGCCACAGCCCGGATTCAGGAACCAGACTGTGACACTGGTCTGTTCCTAAGGCAGGTTTTTTTTTTTTGTTTTGTTTTGTCTTTTTAATACAAAAACTCATAACCAGGTAACAATTAGGTAACCAGATGTAGGAAGCAAGGGGTTGGGGGAGGAGCATTACATCATTTTGACTAGCTAAATATCTGGGATTTAAAAACCCCCAGAGCTCCTGGGGTTTTCCCAACTTCTGGGAGTAAGGAACATAGCAGGATGTTCTGGTCTTAACTTTAACAGAACATACATTTATCTTCTATTGTTTTATTCTGAGCAGTGAGTATTACACTATTTAATTGTATCCTGGTCTTAGGTATGTAGGCTTGAGAACTTGAACTTAATTTCACCTTATGATCAAAAAGGAGACTTGGAGGCAAAAATGGCTTCTGGTATGCTAAAGGCAACAGCAAGTGTTATGCTAGGAACTAAAGTAGATCTCAGCAGAGGGGCTACAGAGTTTAAGCAGGTTAAGAAGGTTACAACACATATAATACCTAAACATGTTGTGTTTATATGCTAGTATCATGTATATTCCCTTCTGTCTGTTAAATATTTTTCAACTTTTAAATGAAGGAGAAACAAAAACATTTTGACTGTATGTTTTAACAAGTTATACTTAAATGTGCAGTAAATTTTGTAATATTTAAGTCCTGCTTTAAATTATAGGGGAAAAAAGTGTTTATTTATGGGCACGAAACTACTTGCATAACCTTTTTTTTTTTTTAATGTAGTGAGGTCTCGTCCCATGTCTGGTTGCACTTTAACAATAACCTTGAGTTTGTCAGGAATATCACAATGACATCCTGAAGGAAATATCAGTCATCCATCCCCACAAGATGAGAAACAGATTTTTTTAGAAAGTCATGTGACCACAGGATGTGGAGGTCAAGAGCCGGGAGCATCTCTTGTCATATTCACACTATTGGGCTTTGTGGATTCTTGTATGTTATTTAAGTATAGAGAGTGAAGCCTGCTCAGCTTTGCCCATTTTGAACAATAACAATGTTGTTTAACTTTCTGAGACCCACTTAAATGTACGTATTTCAGAAATCAGCTACCGGGACATAGATTAACATTAGTTCAAGCACACATCTCATGGTATAGTATGTCTACTTTAAAAATCTGCCTTTTATGCTAATGTGTATTTGTCCCCCCTTTAAATGCTTTAAAATTTAACAGCAGCCTTTACAAAAAAATATGACAAAGTATAAAGTACAATGTTTATGTGAAATTGTAACATTTATTACACAATGACAGAAAATAAAGTCAGATTTTCAAAGAACTTAAGTATTTTCCCTAAAGTCTCACAAAAACAAGACCATTCTAGAAAAACGATAAAGCTATTACCATACCATATACAGTTGTATATGGACGTAAAATGCTATTTGCATATTGCCCACATTTAAATTTCTCCAATTGTTCAAAATCTCAGTATCCTAGGATTGATCAAAGTTTCAAAATGCACGTTTGTTTGTCATTCTCCTGCATGTCAAACTTTCAGTGTTTCTGATGAACTCCTTGTGGTTCAAGAGTTTGGAAGGAGTTCAGCAAAGGTGATACTGTGTGTCTCTCACTGTATTTCATGAGGAAACTGGTTGTTAATCTTGAGAACCTGACTGGACATAGAATCACCTAGGAGATGGAGTCTCAGTGAGGATTTATGTATGGCTCATTAGCTGGGGTAGAAACTCACCATGAATGTAGGTGGCACCATCCCACGGCTGAAGGTCCAGATGCCAGATATCTGGCTGAGTTCCAGAACTGCCATCTCTGTTGTTTCTGGGGTTGCCATGATGTGAAATGAGCTGCCCTCCATACCTTCTCTGCAAGGCTAGACCGAACCTTGATAAACCATGAACCCAAACAAATTCCCTCTACCATCCATTGTTTCCGTAAAATGTTCTATCACAGGGACACAAAGCTTCGAATACAAGGAGACACATAATACTAACTCGTTTCATTATTCAGTTTGATTGTCAGATAAAGGCAACGTCTGCTAGATCTTCCTGTCTCAACGGCCTTGTTTGCCCTTTGTAAGTCAGAAGTTATTGCTGAGGTGGAATCCTCTCAAAATGTTTCACCCAATGGATTTAGCACTCATTCGAATACCTTGAGGGATCAATTGCTTGAACAGTGTTGAAAGCTGAAAATGTTTCACTTTTGTCCCACAGTTTATAGATGTTCTTCCACATAGGGAAGTGTTAAGTTACATGCTTATTATTTATTCATTTATATATGCTATCTTATGATTTTTATTTTCTATATCTCATAATCAACCTATTAACATTGTCATTCTTGAAGCTTCAGAGAGGTCTATGATAGAGTGTGTGTCTAGCCTAGTGTGAGGTCCTGGGTTTCATCTTCAACCCCAAAAACAAAATAAAAAACTGACACATCACTAAACCCCTTACTGATTTAAAATATCCCAAATATGACAAGTTTGGAAAGTCATGTTATTTTATACATGACCCCAACATTTCCTAGCTCTGGATCACATGGTTCCAGCAAGACACCTTTTACATGCTCTCATGACACCTTCCCCTTGTGAGCTGTCTATTTTCTGTCATTTGTCTCTCTACTAACCCATGAATCAATACCATACCCCTTTAACTATATAAGCTTCATATATGTTCTTGTATTTTGGTTAAGCATGCATTATGAGACAGAACTCACGTTAGGAGTTCTTGCCACACATATACACACATGCAATGCCCTCCAGGGACACGTGAGAAGTTGAGGAAGTGACCAGTCTGTTGACTATCAGGATGATCACTTCACAGGTGAATCCTTCCAGGCTCATCAAACAGCAAATATTTGGGATGTGTAACTTATGTATTTACACCTAGGTAAAGCTGCATAATAATACCTGGTCTTTAAAAATATATATATACTGGAGGGGGATCCAAGAAGGATACTGTGTCTGATGGATAGGACAGCAGGACACAGCAACCAACAGACCAAACTCTGGGCCCTAAAACAGCAGAGACTGTGATTCTCAGGTGAGAGGAAACCCCAAGGTGTAGAAAGCAATCAGGTCTATTCTCAGGTCACCCAGCTAAAACCCAGAAGAGTTCCTGTGTCCTGGTAGGCACTCAGTTGCCAGCCCAGAGCCACACTATTGCAGACTGAACTGTGGGCACCACAACACCAGAGACTGGGATTTCCAGTTGAGAGAAAACAAGAAGGAAGCAATCGGGACCGATATCAGGTCACCCAGACAGTCTCTGGAAAGGTCCCAGGGTCCAACGGGTGCTCAGCCACCAGCCCAGAGACCTGCCTGCACAACCGACTCACCATTCCAGACAGAACTGTGGGCTCCAGGGCACCAGAGACTGGGTTATCCTGTCAGGAGGAAACCCTAAGTGACGGAAACATCAGGTTCAACCTCAGGGCACTCAGCCAATCTCCCACCCCAAAGTTCTAGGGAAAAGTTCCCAGGTTCCTACAGGAACCTAGTCACTAGCTCAGAGCCACTCATTTGTGCCTGTGTGCTCTATTCACCACCCCAGACATAACTGTAGACCCTAAAATACCACAGACTGAGTCTCCTTGTTGGGAAGAAACCACATGGTGGGAGAAACATCAGGTCTCACTTTAGGACACCCAGCTGTGGAAAAGTTTCTGGGTTCCCACAGGCTCCAGACTCTAGCCTTCTGCTGCATGCATGAGTTGCACTCACCTGCAACTGATTATTGCTTGGGTCCTAGGCACAGAGCTCCAACCTCAGACCTACAGAAGCCTGAGATCCATGAGATTATCCCCTAGATACTGCTCCAAGGTGCAACCAGTTATCCCTAGCTAAACTGACCCAACAGTGGGGCTCCATGGTTTTTCAAGAGGGTAGTACCCAGCAAACACAGTGTAAGAGCAGCAGCAGCAGCTCAATAAATTCAGAGCAAGAAACCCAGCTGCAGGGCAGCTATCTCCAGGTCTTCTCCTAGTGAGAGGACATCCCCCTAACTACCAAAGACCCCAGTTACCTCACAGGTCCACACGCCTGAGGTGAGCTGTGGCAATTCCTGAGAAGCACTACCGTTTGGTTGACCATACGCCAAAAGTGGAGGAGGCCTCCTTCAGAAACAACCATCTTCCTGTTGAGGGGATTTTCCCTAACCCAGGATTCCAGCAGGCACCAGAAACTAACAGCCAACACCTGAGACAGCCAGATGGGTAGAGGCCCCTAAAAGCAGAACCAACAAAAGGCAAAGTAATATGGCATCTCCAGAACCCAGTTATCCAGGGACAAGTAGTCCTGGATACCCTAACATACAGGAAATTCAAGAAGATGACCTTACATCTATGCTTATAAAAAGGATAATGGAAGAAACAAATAAAATGTGCAAAGAAATAGAGGAAGATAAAGTCAAATAGAGTATGGCCATCTGTAAAAAAAAATACAGGAAGATGCAGCCAAACAGTCTGTGGCCTTCAGAGAGGAAATGATTAAGTCACTGAAAGAAAGAAAAGAAACAGAGAAATATTCAAACAAACATGTGAAGAAATTGTGGAAAAACAGGAAAATACAGTCAGACAGGTGAAGGAAATCAACAAAACAATCCAAGATCTGAAGATAGAATTGGAAAATTAAAGAAAACACAAACAGAGGAAATCATGGAGAGGAAGAATTTAGGGAAGAAAGCAGGAACTACAGAGGTAAGCATAAACAACAGACTACAAGAGATAGAAAAAAGAATCTCAGGTGTGGAAGACGCAATGAAGAAATAGACGGATCCAGCAAAGAAAATGTTAAATCTAAAAATTTCCTGACACAGATCATCCAAGAAATTAAGGACAACATGAAAAGACGAAACCTAAGAATAATTGGAATACAGGAAAAAGAAGATTCCCTCTTCCAAGGCCCAGAAAATATTTTCAACAAAATCATTGAAGAAAATTTCCCCAATTTAAAGGAGAGGCCTATAAACCTATAAGCATACAAGAGGCCTACAGAACACCTAATAAATAAGACCAGAAAAGAAAATCCTCCCACCACATAATAATCAAAACAGTAAGTATGCAGAACAAAGAAAAAATACTAAAAGCTGCAAGGGAAAAAGGCCGAGTAACATATAATGGCAAACCCATCAGAATCACACCTGACTTCTCAACAGAGACTACGAAAGCCACAAGAACCTGGACAGATATCATGCAGACCCTAAGAGAACACAGATTTCAGCTCAAGCTACTATACCCAGCAAAACTCTCAGTCATCGAAGATGCAGAAAACAAGATATTTGATGACAAAAACAAATTTAAACAATACCTACACACAAACCAACATTACAAAAGGTACTAAAAGACAAAATACAAAAAGAAAACTAACTACTGTCAGGAAAACACAGGAAATAAATAACCTCACTACAACAAAACTGAAAGTAGCCAAGCACACAAACACACTACTACAACCAACATCAACATCAAAGGATCTAACAGCCACTGGTCATTAATCTCTCTCAACATCAATGGACTCAACTCTCCAATAAAAAGACACAATTTAACAGAATGGTTGGGTAAATAAGAAGTAACAATATGTTGCATACAAGAAACACATCTAAGTCACAAAGATAGACACTACCTGAGAGTAAAGGGCTGGAAGATAGTTTTCCAAGCAAATGGACCCAAGAAGCAAGCATAAGTAGCCATTCTAATATATAATAAAACAGACTTTCAACCAAAATTAATCATAAGAGATGGGGGAAGGTCACTCCATATTCATCAAAGAAAAATTCTACCAAGAACACATCACAATTCTCAACATCTATGCCCCAAATATAAGAGCACCCACATCTGTAAAAGAAACATTAATAAAACTTAAGCCACACATAGATCCCTACACATTAATAGTGGGAGACTTCAACACCCTACTCTCAACAAAACAGAAATTAAACAAAGAAACAATGACTTTAACAGATATCATGAATCAAATGGACCTAACAGACCTCTACAGAACCTTTCACCCAAACACAAAAAATTTACCTTCTTTTCAGCACCTCATGGAGCCTTCTCCAAAATAGACCATATAGTTGGTCACAAAGCAAGCTTCAACAGATACAAGAAGATTAAAAAAAAATCCCTTGTATACTATCTGACCACCATGGACTAACTCTGGACCTCAAGAACAAAAGAAATAGCAAAAAGCCTATGCACACATGGAATCTGAACAACTTGCTACTCAATGACAGTTGGGTCAGGAAAGAAATAAAGAAAGAAATTAAAGTTTTCCTAGAATTCAATAAAAATGAAGACACAACATACTCAAACTTACAGGACATGATGAAAGCAGTGCTGAGGAAAGTTCATAACACTAAGTGCCTTCAGAAAGAAGTGAGACATCTCATACAAGCACCTTAATGGCACACCTAAAAGCCATAGGAAAAAAAAGAAACAGACACACCCAAGAGGAGTAGACAGCTGGGAATAATCAAACTTAGGGCTGAAATCAACAGATTAGAAACAAATAAAACAATTCAAAGAATCAATGAAACCAAGAGCTGGTTCTTTGAGAAAATCAAGATAGACAAACAAACTTTAGTTAAACAAACTAAAAGGCAGAGAGACACTATCCAAAGTAACAAAATCAGAAATGAAAAGGGGGACATACAACAGACACTGAGGAAATCCAAACAATCATTAGGTCTTACTTCAAAAGCCTATTCATCACAAAATTTGAAAATCTAAGTGAAATGGACAATTTTCTTGATCAATTCCATTTACCAAAGCTGAATCAAGACCAGGTAAATAAGTTAAATAGTCCTACATGCCCTAAGGAAATAGAAGCTGTCATCAAAAGTC